GACATGATTGAGAAGTATAAAATTATGCAGGGGATGGATAAAATGGATAGAGTGAAGCTCTTTTCCCTCTCACACAATACCAGAACCGGGGGACATTCACTCACATTGAGTGTTGGGAGAGAGAAAACAGACAAAAGAAATTATTTCTTTACCCAGTGTGTTAGTATGTAAAACTCCTTGCCACAGGATGTGGACATCTGGCCTAGATGCCTTTAAAGCCATGATGGGGACGTTTAATCTCCAGGCTTCAAAGGAAGGTACCTCAAAATGTCAGATGCAGGGAGGGGTATCAGGAGACAGGTATCTAGTTGTCCCATGTGCTCCCAGAGGCATCTGGTAGGGCCACTGTGAGATACAGGAAGTTGGACTAGATGGGCCCTTGGCCTGAACTAGTCTGCATTGGATCCCTCTCTTACCATGGTGTATAGACAGAGCTGCACATTTGCCAATGAAATTTGGATATCTTCACTGAAATATTTACACTGTGTTTAGCAGTGCTTCTATCTATGTGCAACTTTTTGCATATGGTTTTAGGTCATCCATGTAAAACAGATGTTGAGTTTGCCTTGTAATAACATTTCATAATTTCTCAATTTTTGGCGAGAGTCCAAGTTTTGCATTTACATTGTTCCAGTAGCTTTGCAGCAGCCTGTCCTTGGTTCCTCAACAGGGCCTGCTGAGCCCTGTAGCCTGTTTGTCACCAGATGCCCAGGGGGTGTAGGGAATGCTAATCAGATTTTCAGATGACACAAGATTGGGTGGACTAACTACCACAAAATTCAAAATGACCTAGTTAGGCTTGAGCAGTGGGCTGAAAACAACAGAATGAAATACAGGGATAAGTGCAAAATACTGCACCTAGGAAAAAGAAACCAAACAGACTTAAAAGATGGGGATACCTGGCTCAGCAAAACTACACATGAGAAGGATCTTTGAGTCATTGTAGATCACAAGCTGAGTATGAGCCAAGGGTGTGATGTGGCTATAAAAAAGGCAAATGCTATTTTAGGCTGCATTAACAGTATAGTTTCCAAATCCAATGAGGTGCTAGATCCCCTCTATTTGGCACTGGTTTGGCCTCAATTTGTCAGCAGTTTAAGAAGGATGCTGACAAATTGGGACAAGTTCCGAGGAGGGTAATAAGAATGTTCAGGGGGCTGGAACTGGGGCTGGAAACCAAACTCTATGAGAAAAGACTGGAAGAACTGGGATTGTTTAGCCTTGAGAAAAGAAGACAGAGATAAGATAGCAGTTTTCAAATACTTGAAAGGTAGTCATACAGGAGTAGGATCTGTTCTCGATCATCCCAGAGTGCAGGACATGCAACAATGGGCTCAAGTTACAGGAAGCCAGATTTCACTTGAAAATCATGAAAACTGTCCTTTTCGAGCAGGACGGCAGTGGAATAAATTACCTCAAAATGTGGTGAGTACTCCAACAACTGTCAAACCTACAGTTCAATGCATTCCAATGGGGGGGAGGAATTCACCAAAAATTAACGAAGACTCAGAACAAAGCCAAATTAAGTTTGCAAAGGTTTTACAGGGTGCACTAACGATTCCAAGCATTTAAAACAGTTTTTGAACATTTTAAGACACACTTAAAATAGCGTAAACGGACATCGCTAAGCGAAACGGGGATCTAAACTGTCATCGCTAAGCGAAGCAAGGTCCCGAACATCGCTATGCGAAATTTCCCCAAAGGAAACATCGCTAAACGGAGCGCAAGATCGCTCCAAAAACCTCATCGCTAAGCGAATACGTCGTTAAATGAGGCAATCGCTAAGCGAGGCACCACTGTACTTTGACATCATGTTGGCTAGGAATTTACTTACCATATTGAGAGGAGCCGTATGGTCTCAGCCATCAACATTTACATGACATTAATGTTGGACACCAGAGTGCAGAAGAGTGCTTTGAGAAGGCTGTCCTTTCTTCTGTGTTTGCACAAGAATACCTATCTGCTGGGGCATTTCATGCCAGTGATAAGCTGACTAGTTTTCACCCATTCATATGAATGTATAGATACCATGATAGAGAAAAACAGGTTTTTCTTTTACTATTTGTTTTTATTGATGGCAAAAAAACTTCCCCTACATCCATGACGATACCACAGAAATCCCTCACATGGTGGCTGAAGTCCTGTTGCTTTGCGTCATAAGTTGCACTAGAGTAGGTTCATTGAATTAGTGGGGATTTGGTAAATCAACTCTTTCATAAGTGCATTTGATTCAGATAGGCCTAGGTTGGTGGCAACTTAACTTTGTTGAAGTTTACTATTTCAACTACACTGTCTCGAATCATTCAGCCTGAATACGTTGGCTCTGGGATCCTGGGACATGAAGTCTGAGAAAATACGTTTGCCTATATCTGTTTCTTAATAAATACAAATATCCATTTTTATTTTTATTTTTTTGAAGTTACTGTGAGAGGATGTACATCTGCGCAGTCAGTTCAGTGAGCACTATGATATTCCCAAGAGACATATGTATAGGCTGAAATCCAATAATAAGTCACAACTATAGTCATCCAATTGATTGAGTGGATATTTGGTGAGTCAAGTACCCTGTAGACACCATTGATTGAATGGGCCTCCTCCAGTTCCAAGTTACTACTGGATTTCAGTGTGATTCACTAGCTTCCAGTGAATTAGTTCTTCAAGACTTATCATTTGAAATGTATTTCCAGAAATGTATTATTCATAGCAACGAATGAACAATAGTGATAATAATGACAAGCGGATGCCGCTTCTGTCAAAGCTTCCTTTCCTCAACATAGCACTTAGTTAATCTCCCAGAAGTCTGTTGAAGATAAAATGGAATTAGAAGTTTCTGGAAGACCATACCATCATAGAGTAAGAAAACTATTGAGCTGGAGAAGATCCCAAGGGTCCTTGAGTTAACCGTCTACCAAATTTTTATTATTTATTATTTTTTAATTTATTTTATTTCTATCCCACCTATCTGATTGTATTCGACCACTCTAGGCGGCTTACAATAAAAACAGTAATATAATTTTTACAACATTACAAGTAGAACATAATAGAGATAGAGAACAAATTAGAAGAACAAATCGTTAAGGGTTTTCTGTTGGGAAGGCCTGCCTATACATCAGTGTTTTTAGTTGTTTCTTAAAAATGCCCAGCGAGGGAGCCGCGCGAATCTCGGGGGTAAGTTGTTCCAAAGGCGAGGAGCCACTGCCGAGAAGGCCCGATTTCTGGTCTTTTCCTTTCGGGCCTCTCTCGGCGTTAGGCTCCTCAGCCTCACCTCCTGGCTCGCGCGAGTGACACGGGTAGATCTTGGTGGGAGAAGGCGTTCCGCCAAGTATCGAGGTCCTAAACCGTTTAGGGCTTTATAGGTAAGCATTAACACTTTGAAATCGATGCGGAATCGGATGGGCAGCCAATGCAATGCGGCCAGAGTGGGTGAGATATGTTGGTATCTTCTCAGTCCACTGAGTAGTCTGGCCGCCGCATTCTGCACCACCTGTAGTTTCCGCAGCAGTCTCAAAGGTAGCCCCACGTAGAGCACATTACAGTGGTCTAATCTTGAGACTACAAGCGCATGCACCAGAGTGGTGAGAGACCTCACATCAAGGTAGGGCCGCAGCTGGGCTATCCGCCTAAGATGGAAGAAAGTGGAGCGGACCACGGACGCCACCTGGGTCTCCATAGTGAGCGCCGGGTCCAGATGGATCCCCAAGCTGCGGACCCCATCCCTGGCGGGCAGAGTCACCCCCCCAAAAATGAGGGAGTTTCCCATATCCCCAGGTGTGGGGGCGCCCACCCTCAGTACCTCCGTCTTGTCCGGGTTCAGCCTCAGCCCGTTCTCCTGCATCCATT